CTCTCTCTCTCTCTCTCTCTCTCTCTCTCTCTCTCTCTCTCTCTCTCTCTCTCTCTCTCTCTCTCTCTCTCTCTCTCTCTGTGTGTGTGTGTGGAGAAACACTCTTCTATGAGTTGCAAGTACAGATTCCAAATCTCAGTCTGACCCATTGTTTGCGAAAAGTGGTCGACAGGGTTATGCCAGCAACCATTATATGGCAGTGGAAAACCCGGTCTGGTAGCACTTGTACACTATGTGAACAGAGCAACCAACATCATCCATTGTCAACTAGGCTGTGTATCTTAGTGACAAATAATAATTGAACTCCCATTGGGATCAACGAAGAATGTGTCTTTTTCATCAACTGAAAATGATGCACCTGGTTAAACTGTTTTTGCTCGTGTCCGTTGGACGTATGCCCAAACTACTGGCGCCTCCTAGTTTCTCAAATGGCTGTGTGCGTGTGTGTGTGTGTGTGTGTGTGTGTGTGTGTGTGTGTGTGTGTGTGTGTGTGTGTTATAAACTGTAACCACAACAACCCCTTTTCCACGTGGATGAGCAAGTCCACCTCTATAGCAAACAACATGAACGAACACTAGAAGGAGCAGATCCAAAATTGCCACAGCTTTACCTCTATAACAAACAACGTGAATCACACTAGAGTTATATTCAATATATTATTATATTGTCTTTTCCTTGCGGAGTCCTTTCTTCAATTTCCTCTTTTTGGCTTTCTTTGGGGTTTCGCTTATATTTTTTTCTTGCAGCTCCCCTTTTACTGCACCTCTGACATACAAGGCTTGCCACGTTGATTGTGGTTGACCTCAAGCTGCCCACAGCCCCATGTGCCATGATGGCCCACTTGCACGCTATGAAAACATTGAAAGGAGTCCGCTTACTGCTATTCATGTTTCAGCACTCCAGCTTATATTTTCTGTTCTCTTAATGACGCTCATTCATATGCGCTTAGTAGTGCCACCAAAGGGGCGGGAGGAGGAAAGGGGGAGGGGAGGAGGTCTGCACTGAGGGGAGGGAGCAGGGACGAGGGGAAGGGGAAGAGGAGGGAAGTTGAGGGACGAGGAATACAACAGATGAAAGAACTTCACAGGATTCACAGTACGCACCACTAGAGCAGGCTACCATGGAATGGCAGAAGAGGTCAGTCGGTGTTTGGGTTGCAAGGACATTTGAGTTGAGGGGCACAAGTTCCCTACACTTATAGAAATCGCTATTTGGCGTGCAACATTTGGCCGATCCGGGCCGCCTGCAGCCTACCGGCCGACGGCCCTGATTTCTGCGCGATGTTAAGACTTTAAGACTAAGATCTTGCAGCGATCCAGACCGTCCGCTCTGCCGGACGGCCTGGGTCGACGCGCGATCTTAAAGTCTTAAGATCGCGCGGAAATCTGGGCCGTCGGCCCGGTAGGGCCGTGGGCGGCCAGGATTGGCACGCCCGTTGAGAAGAGGGCCGTTGCGGGGCGGCGCCATGGCCCTGTTCTCGTCGAACGGCCAGTTGGGTCAAGGGCTGTTCGACTTTGCGGCCTCTGACCACCTCCGCTCCTCCCACCTTCGCCGCCTCCTCCCACCTCCGCCCACCTCTGCCCACCTCCCCCCACCTCCGCGCATCTCCGCTCACGCTCCGCCCACCTCCGCTCACCCTCCACCCACCTCCGCTCGCCTCCGCCCAACTCCGCTTGGCCTCCGC